ATTGTAAAGGAACATCAACGGGGATAGCAATGCATCTCCAGCTTCCTTGACTATTTTCGGTGATATGTCGTCGGGTCCTGTCGCTTTATTTGTTTTGAGATTAGCTAATTTTCTCTCAATGGCCGAAGGCGATAGTGCAATGTTATTGACACAGGGAACAATCTTAGTTGACGTGGCCAGGTGAGATAGATATTGGGGCTGGAAACTGCCAGCCAGTTTCTCTCCGATGTTAGAGAAGAAATTATTGACTAGGTTTGATTTTTCTTTGTCATCAACTGCGAGCGATCCATCCTCTCTTTTCGATGGGCCTATCGCTTTCCTTAATTTAGGGTTATTCGCCTTTGAAAGCTTTTCATCTTGTTTCCTTCGTACGACGTGTCGCCACGTTCGTCCTGTAATAGATTGGTACTAAAGTCTCCAAGAAGTACCATATTTGAGAATTTTGTCCAGATATTTACCATTAATTTCAGTTTGGAAACGCTGTGAAGAATTCATTGTTTTGGTTTGGTGGTCGATATATAGTTCCTACCAGGATGTCTCTTTAGTCAGCCTTTACTTGCATACATATCCCTTCCACTCGTTCATCTTCCAAGTCCGGTCGGTGGATTGCTTTCAGCGACTTGCGATAATATTTCACACAGCCCCTGCCTTGTCTGCCTGGTCTGTCTCTTCGGATGAGATTGTAATCTTCTATGTCTATTTCTCCGTCGATGATTTCACTGTTCAAGTGCGTTTCTGTTACTCCGAATACGTCGAAACGGCAAAGCTTTAGAAGGATTCGTAATTCGTCCATCTTTTTCCTTAAGCCACGGATGTTTAAGTGTGCTATTTTAAGATGTTTTGCATTGGTAGTAAGTTTGTGAACTAATTCCTGTAGGTATTCATCGTTATGGTCTTCGGTATGATCTCTGAATCCCCTTGAAGCAAATTTTTCGAAACCTTATTTTTTTTCTCTTTTTTAAAAATCTTCTTTTTACTCTCTTTTCTTACCTTTGTGGTGCATATAGCTAGTATAAACATAATGTGGTAAATTGAAAGCAAAGTTTACCGGAATATATAAAATGCGGTATGTATCATTGCGTATCTAACGGTATTTTTAGTAATACTGGACACTGTTTCATTACCCAGCTCAATCGTCGATTTTCACTTGTGCCTAATTTAATTCGAGAGGTAACTGCTTTGTGATGGGACGTCTGAATCAACTAAATTCGACAGTTTCAAATTAAATACGACTTTGTTGAATCTGCGACTGAAACAGTCGAAAATTCGACTTAGGTTCAACATTTGATTTAGAAGTCGCATTTCACATGTGCCGAGTATGATGCATTAATTGTATAAACCCTTACCCATATTGGATAAACATTTTTCTAGAGACTGGGAATATTTACAACAAACGGAGTTAAATTCGGCACCATCATATATTCGACGTCTGAATCAACTGCCCTATTTAATTACTTTCATTGACTAAAATACGTGTTCGGTACTCATAAAAGGGGCCTTACATGACATGTTTCAGCTTTGTGGTTTGCAGGCTGTTATTAAGTTGTTGTTTTCTTTTCAGTTAGAGCAATTCGTAACTCTCTATGTAAATCCATTTTATTAATCGACTTGTGCCGCGACTTAAGAATAGGCTGTAATAGTTGATTTTACTTTCCCTTTGACTTGATTTGCATATCAAAAAGAGCGATCAATTTTTATATTCATCCATTTCAATGAAGGCAAATATAATCACTTCTCACTATAGCAAACAACCTCCAACTGTGACTCGGTTGTATAAATATGCGGCACCGAAGAAAGACGAACAAGCTAATCCTTTTTGATCATATTATTTTAAGGTTTAAACTCGAAGCTTTATATAGTGTAAAATAATTATAATTTACTTTTACCGGTATCACTTGTAATAATAATAATAATAATAAAACCAAAAAAAACCCAAATCTTTTATTGATAACAAAGCTAAATGTAAATTCCTATTTACAATTAATTTCACTTAAAAAACTACAAAGTTCTATTTACATTATTCCTTTCAGCGATTAAAGAAAAAAAAAGACACTTACTTTCAATTGAAAAAATTCATGTCATTAAAAAATATCATATATTCGGGAAAAAAATTCAATTAAAAAACGGGTCATTTCAACTAAAATAAATTAACGAGCTCACGCCATTATCACACACGCTTGGGTGGCGTTTAAGCGGTAGTCGTCAATGAAATCCCCTTGTGGAATTTTGTGGAAGCGTGTCCTAGAACCTCTTACGCATGTGTGTACGGACCTTATAATCTCAACAGAAAGCAATGTTCTAATCCAAGTAATAGTAATATAGTCGCAGCATTTACGCGCTATAGTTTTTAACACACAAACTTTATTCTAGAACTTCTACAACTGTTGCAGGGAAACAAGTGAACCGATGTGAAGTATAGCGGTACTGAAAAATAACAATAAAACAAATACAAAGTCAAGATAAAACAACCTACAAACTGAACCAAAGCAATAAGGCAATCTAGAAATGCGAATGAAACAAACGAGATACTTACAAGACGATAGCGAGATAAGGACGAAAAACTAGGACGAGCTAAAACCCAAACATTAAACTGTAAACCGGAGCAAGCGCAGCTAAACGAAGAACTGACGCGAACAATTACAATAAAAGCTAAATATACGATATGCAGAAAAATCCTAACACGAAGGACAAAGCTACGCGGACAATGAAAAACTAATGAACCAAACAACAGCACTAAAGGCGCGAACACGAAAATAACTAAGAACGCGGCGAACATAAAAATACTATAAAGGTAACGGAAAACATTCCTGGCGCTTACAAGTAATGTGATAAGGTTCCTCATTCTTTTCTGAGAGCTTCTCGGCTAGGCGTTTAAGAAAGCAGTTGCAGTCGGCTCCCATCCCACCGTTGGTTCCAAAAACTAGGGGAGTGAAAGATCCCATTTCAACGTCCAGCACCCTCTGTTGGTACTTCCGCTTTTTCTCCTCCTCCTGCTCCTTAAAGATTGTGGATGTTTCTTTTCCCTGGTTGTACTTGGAGTTAACATGCGTTACTCTGACAGCAAAAAATGCTGTAACTCCACGAGACCAAAAGCCCCCTGCCTTGAAGTCCAGTCTTGCCTCCGGGCTTGTTACCGCGGTTCTAAGGTTGAATCGCCCATTATCGAGAGGTTATAGTTGTGGTTCGACTTCAACGTTGGTGCAAACCTTACCAATAAGTGAGGTAAGTAGGTTGCGAACACCATCGTGTCTCTGCGCCACGAAACCTCCCTTTTTGCTTGACAGGGCATGGCAGAGGGTATGCTTCTCACCACAAACACACTTGCTTGGTAAGTCGGACAGGGGCATACGCAGCGAGTCCCTGAATTCTTGTTTATTCAGCACTAAACCTTGATGGACAAGAGGCACTGCGGTAAGCCAACAGCTTGCACCCTTGTCTCTCGATTGGTTAACTGACCGCAGCAGATCCGAGGGTGGAGTGGAATCAATACTTTCCATTCTCGATTTCACCGACGCAGTTTTCAAGGCTTGATGTTGTCCTTTAACTCTTCCGTAGAATTCTCGCCTGCCACCATGAACATGCTCTGTGTGGTAATAGAATCTAATCTAGGGGCGGTGCTGTTATTAACGTCGAAGCAGCCAACTGCTGTGGAGCTTCAAACCGTAAGTCGGGTACGCCTAGCCCTCCTTGAGCGGGTGTCAAAGTAGCGAGCTGACGCAGATCACTAGGGAGGGGCTCCGTTGGAACGAATAGTGTTGGGAGAAGTAAGTCGTCGATCGCCTCTTGGATAGGGTCAACGCCTGAATCTTCAAACGACTCTATTGTGCGCAATATTATTATTATTCTATTGTGCGAAATATAATAATAATAATAATAATAATAACAATAATAATAAAGCTGATGATGATTATAATTATAATAATTAACGTTCATATCTGTCTATTCAAAACACTAAATGACCGGCAGTCCCATATTCTCAGTAAATTTCACAAAATCGAAAAATCCCAGCTAATCTGAACTATCATATGTCGATTACGAAAAGTCAAGCGATCCCTGCTTTATAGATAAGGTTTTGTTTTGCCGGCTGAGAATTCTACTGAAATTGATCTCATCGCTGATACCATTAATCATCAGGTCGTACCTTCGGTAAACTCAGTTTAATTACTGCAGTCAGCCTATTATACCAAACGCACCATACAGGGATAATTCATCCAATGCACTCACTGGCCGTTATTTTGAGCATTCTTGGGTAGAGGCTGAAACCTATATGTAGTTGCTACAGACCTCTCTATCTTACTTAACATTCTGTTTAAAATTCAATCACTGATAAAGCCGTTTTAAAACGCACGGTTTGGTGAAAGTCCATGCGCCATTGATCTTTTTAACGGGCAACAATGAAACCCTTACGACGAGGAGATTCAAAAGACTCTGCAAAAAAAGGAAATGAGACGTACACACTATCATAAAAGATTTGTGAGGATCAGTTTTTGAAAGCTGGGAAACTCGCGTAAGTATCTTACTTCTAATCATTTAGCCGTTTTTGTCATTTGGATCAAAGTAGATCTGCTTCGTTCACTTTAAAACTGTCCGTGTGGAAAGTAAATCTTCGCTGTACGTTCTACTTCCTTCACCACGTGTACAGACTGCATACATGTATTTGACTACAGATAAAGGGATCGATAGTTAATTTCTGAGGAAAAAATGTTTTTTAAAGGAAAAGAAAAGAAAGAGAGTGACAATTTTTCTTCCCCATCACCTGCAAATTATGAGACTAAACATCTTGAAGGTCTTTTATCATTCACAGTTGATCTTTCCACGCATTGCATGCCGTTCAAATCATCAACACTCCTTGTAAAGTTACAAAATAACAAAACTCTCAATCTTCCTTTCTGTCACCTTTTTTCTCAAACTTCAGTAGAAAAAACAATTCCCAACAAAACCTAAAGGAAAAACCAACAAATTGGTAAATCGGTTGGGAATAATTACAAGGTGAAATTAAAATTTTTTAATTTTATGGATTGCGGAAATTTTTATCTATTATGGAAACCGTTTCCCTTTACGTAGTTATTTCTTTTCACACTTTAATAAATGATTTTGTATTACAAGCAAAATAAAATAAACTTGAAAATTTCCTCTTACGGGCCCGGCGGGCTATTTATCACGGAACTTTTCTTTTTGAGACGTGATTTTTTGCACTGTTGTGATAGCGAAATGTTCTGATTACTGTGAAATTGTTTTGTATGGGAAGAGATAACTACATAAATCCTGTCAGAAATGAGTCTTCACTTTGGATAAAAAGCAAATATGGTGGAATCAAATGCGCAATTGTTTGTTTATTCTACAACGAACATTACGTAAAAGAGAAGTTCATCTTCGGATGATAATCTCGAAATTTTGGTGAATTTTCTAAGAACCATCATTTTATGATCAGAGGGTCTGCAGGACCATTTAAAAATTGAAATATAATAATGATGAAACACAACTAGCCTGGGAAAATAACAACAAACGTGACATTCTCCACTAGGTTTTATAAACAGTGATCTACTTCTTTCATACAAAATGAAACAATGTAAAGTAATCCTTAAAACATAAATAGCCAGATGGTATTGACTACGCATGTACAAACCGAAATGTCACTAAAACGTGCCAATTATACGTTTTTACCATCTGCACGAAAGAAAAGAAAAAGTTGATAACACTTTTTTGCCAGTCTTCAAACAGTGGATAACAGAACACGTAGTCGGAATACGCACAGTCTCATGTATGAGAATCCGATGTCGAATAATCTTCGTAAAACGTCCGTTTGAAAAAAAATATAATTGTAAACTAAAGCTACAAGGTAGAGGATTCTAATGACAAATTTTGAGGGCTGTATCCGCGCTAAAACGTTCTCGATAGCTTTTTATATTTTCTGTACATTTGTCTATAATTTTTCCCGGGAAATTTAGTCGGCGGGAAACCATTTTTACAGACAAATGTATTGTAAATTGAAGGTCATTAAAAGAAGCGATTCTAGGGCAGGCGAGGCCCTCGAGTTTTGTGAGAAGAATCTTTTGTCTAATAACTTTAGTTTACATTTAGTTTTTTCNTCCTTCACCACGTGTACAGACTGCATACATGTATTTGACTACAGATAAAGGGATCTATAGTTAATTTCTGAGGAAAAAATGTTTTTTAAAGGAAAAGAAAAGAAAGAGAGTGACAATTTTTCTTCCCCATCACCTGCAAATTATGAGACTAAACATCTTGAAGGTCTTTTATCATTCACAGTTGATCTTTCCACGCATTGCATGCCGTTCAAATCATCAACACTCCTTGTAAAGTTACAAAATAACAAAACTCTCAATCTTCCTTTCTGTCACCTTTTTTCTCAAACTTCAGTAGAAAAAACAATTCCCAACAAAACCTAAAGGAAAAACCAACAAATTGGTAAATCGGTTGGGAATAATTACAAGGTGAAATTAAAATTTTTTAATTTTATGGATTGCGGAAATTTTTATCTATTATGGAAACCGTTTCCCTTTACGTAGTTATTTCTTTTCACACTTTAATAAATGATTTTGTATTACAAGCAAAATAAAATAAACTTGAAAATTTCCTCTTACGGGCCCGGCGGGCTATTTATCACGGAACTTTTCTTTTTGAGACGTGATTTTTTGCACTGTTGTGATAGCGAAATGTTCTGATTACTGTGAAATTGTTTTGTATGGGAAGAGATAACTACATAAATCCTGTCAGAAATGAGTCTTCACTTTGGATAAAAAGCAAATATGGTGGAATCAAATGCGCAATTGTTTGTTTATTCTACAACGAACATTACGTAAAAGAGAAGTTCATCTTCGGATGATAATCTCGAAATTTTGGTGAATTTTCTAAGAACCATCATTTTATGATCAGAGGGTCTGCAGGACCATTTAAAAATTGAAATATAATAATGATGAAACACAACTAGCCTGGGAAAATAACAACAAACGTGACATTCTCCACTAGGTTTTATAAACAGTGATCTACTTCTTTCATACAAAATGAAACAATGTAAAGTAATCCTTAAAACATAAATAGCCAGATGGTATTGACTACGCATGTACAAACCGAAATGTCACTAAAACGTGCCAATTATACGTTTTTACCATCTGCACGAAAGAAAAGAAAAAGTTGATAACACTTTTTTGCCAGTCTTCAAACAGTGGATAACAGAACACGTAGTCGGAATACGCACAGTCTCATGTATGAGAATCCGATGTCGAATAATCTTCGTAAAACGTCCGTTTGAAAAAAAATATAATTGTAAACTAAAGCTACAAGGTAGAGGATTCTAATGACAAATTTTGAGGGCTGTATCCGCGCTAAAACGTTCTCGATAGCTTTTTATATTTTCTGTACATTTGTCTATAATTTTTCCCGGGAAATTTAGTCGGCGGGAAACCATTTTTACAGACAAATGTATTGTAAATTGAAGGTCATTAAAAGAAGCGATTCTAGGGCAGGCGAGGCCCTCGAGTTTTGTGAGAAGAATCTTTTGTCTAATAACTTTAGTTTACATTTAGTTTTTTCAAAACGGACGTTTTTACGAAAATTATTCGACATCGGATTCTCATACAAACACTGTAATTTTACGCCTACTTGCCTACCCGACAAGATGGCGTCGAAAACCGTGATAAGGCCTATTATTTTCTACTTTCCTAGCCAGAAACAAAGGAACTACCGATGAGTTGAAAAAACGTTTGGGTTACTATCAGCAAGAGCAATTAAATTTGCCCCGAGAATATTCTGTTTTTGACGGATCACAATTAAGACGCGGCGGCGGTGAGAAAGTCAAATAAGTAATAGCTTGACAAGGCAAAACAACAACTTGGCACGTGCATCACGCTTTTTTGTACATTTCTTTGCCCTCAACTGAAAGACTACCCGTGAAAATACCTAATTTCACGTTTTGTGAAGG